GTGCTGCTGTTAAACCCAGGGATTCATGCATGCCAGGCCAGCGCTCGCCCGATGGAACCTCATCCCCGGCTTTCCATGCTTATGTTTAGTCAACTCCATGGCTTCTTAAGTAGAACATCCAGTTTGAGGTCTAAGGATCTAACCCTCCTCTCAAAAAAAAAAAAAAAAAACCCTCAGAGATCATTTCTGACTCATCCCTTTACTTCCCAGAATCCCCTGCTGGAAGCTGCACCTAGGCATGTAGCTGTCTCTAGTGCTCACACGAGTAGTATAGTACAGGCAACAGAAAGTTACCTGCGCTCCCCTCCATGGGCTCTATCTGCTCTAGTCACCCAGTAGGGTGACTGCCAAACACAACTTCATCCCAATGCCTCTCCCTTTCTCGGCAGTCCTCAGCTTGCTCCCTGGTCTGGCTTGGAGACCCAGACCACTCCCCCCCTTTCCAAGACTCACCGGAATCCTGCCAGCAGCTTGTTGGGACCCTCTGGTTGTCCTGTCCCACCCAGAAGTAAAAGTGCTAACCCTCCTTCAGGAGGCTTCCTGCTCTCTCCCTCCCTCCCTTCCTCCCTCCTTCCCTCCCCGCCTCCTCTATGCTGCAGGATGCAGGCATCTGAATGAGATGGTTTCCAGGCATGAATAGAGGGACTGAGCTTATTTCAGTGGGATCATCAGACCACCACTTTGTGTATTGCTGCTCAGAGAGACGGAAATGCTTGTTGATGTCCCAGGGGGAAAATTTTTATTAGTGAGATAGTTCCCTGGGTAAAAGCACTGGCTGCCAAGCCTGACAGCCTGAGTTCAATCCCAGGGGAGCCACAAGGTGGATGGAGATAGCCGAGTCTCACAAACTCACTTCCATATGTGTGTGGTACACATGTACCTCCCCCAAACACAGTTAAATAAATAAAATGATTATATATAATTATATGTGTATACACATACACACACACACATATATATATATACATATATTCACATACACACACACACACACACACACACACACACACACACACACAAAA